ATGGCATTACAACGCCAATAGATTATTGGTTACAACGTGCGGAACGGCTGACCACCTAGTGGCGAGTTTTGCCCTTTATTCCTCGCAAGCATGAAGTCTTATTGAAAATGCGTATATATGCTCAAAGCACATTACTTCTGGAATATTTTCGGAATTTGAGCACTGGACATTTAGTGCGTTGTCCGGAAACTATCAGTAGCTTGAATCTTTAGGGCACCGGTGCCGATTTTTGTCGCGTTTGCACGACAAAGGCCAAAGGTACCCAGTTTTCTCTCTCTCCTTGCATTACGTATTACTTGTGCGTCGATGTATGAAGCAAATTTTATTCGCCATCAGACAACTGATGCAAAATTTAGAAATATTCTAGGTCGTTCTTTTCTTCAGGTCCATATCCAAAACCTTATTTGTTTATCAATGAATTGAACTCTGGAATCCACGCGATTGATTTGCTAACTCATGATAAAACTGGCGTTATCCGTGGACTTAAAGAGAATCGCGCAATGGCAATTGACACAGTGGAAATGAAAATATACTTCAGAAATGGCAGCAGTATATCCAGGGCTAACCTTGATGCTACCGGTGTTGAAATTTTTTTCAAAATTGATTATGTTAGGACAATGGTAGTTGACTGGCTGGGACGTCGTTTAATCTGGTCTACGACGTCAACCAACGACTGGATTTTCGTAATGAATTTAAACAGGAAAGGAAAAAGAGCGCTGACAAAAGAAAGAGCTTGGAACTTCGACATAGCAGTGGATCCGACAGTGGGGTAAGTTATATTGATTTGAGGAAAATTTTGTTGTTATCGACGTAAATTATAATATATTTTTATTTAATATTAAATTTATTTCAAAAATAGTTCCGTCGACTATACGTTAGAAAAACTCTCGTCCACTTCCCCTGCTTCCAATGAATGCTAATTACGTACTTATTTTAAAATATCTATAATTCATAAAGTAAATAATAAAATGAATCTTTAATTAATCAAAGTCGGATGATAAACCTGATAAAGAGTTCGTCTTGATTAACATTTATTTTGTCCTATTTTGTGAGGCAAGTTAGCTAGTATTTTTAAATTATGAGTTAATAAACGTGAAAATTCACATTGTAAACCCCATACAGATTGCCACTCATATTTTATCAATTACTTGCCGTATATTACTTCATTCATGACATAATTAGCTGAACGGAGTAAAGTTGAAGTTTAATAAATTGTAAATACGTTTCGTTAATATTATCATAGAAATATATTTAAAGTTTTCACTAACAAGTGATTTACCAAAAAAAGACTGAAAAGAGTGTCCTCTTCAACAAATAGGCTAGTAAACATTAGCACCCATAATGACTCAAACCTGATTGTCGCATTGTAATCTACTGATGGGGGATTCCAAGTGATTTCACCGCAGGTCGAAATCTCTCATTAATTTTTTCAAAGAAATTAGTGGAGCTTTTGGAATGTTTTACCACGTATTTTCCATGAGTGCAATATTTGGCAGTTCTTTGAAATATAAAATATAATGTATTTACATAAACTTGACAAAATAACATTGTTGCAACCCATGCTAACACAACAAGACGCCTGCTCAGGCGTTCACACTGGCCTGAAAATGGCAACTTTTGTGGAGGGTGTAATGCGTAGTAGAGAAGTAAATAGGGATACAGGGGGTATGGACCATATAAATACAACCAATAAATGCAATCATGATTAGCAACTATCAACCATAATATACCAAGACGCCGGCTCAGACGTACCCTCTGCCGCTCTGGCTACGGACAATTCAACCTGACAAGCCAGGTGCACTGTAACTATGATCATCAACTACCAACCGTAAATAATGATGGGTCAATACTAGCGAATAAATTCTATTGTCCTTGATTTTTAATGCCATTATATGGCTCGTTTCAGGTGCTAAGAAGTTTATAGACATAGACGATTCTTCCAAAAAATTCGCCAATTTGCTGCCAGTTATAAGATAAACTGATCCCAAACCCTTCTCTAACCCCACTATTCTTCCCTTGGGCTTGCACGCGGGCTACCCTCAACCAGTAAACATCTAAGGGACCGATTACATGGAGCATTTTCAACCAGTGCTCTCACTTTTAAGGAATTATCCTTAAAAATAGGAATTTTGAAGAGTTCGAAGGGTTTTTTAAGGAATTTATGTGACCAGACCTTGTAGTAATTTTACCAATTTAAGGAATTTTAAGGAAATCTGAGGAATTTTCGACCTTTTTCTAAGGAATTCGAAAATTTGATTGTGAGAGCACTGTTTTCAACCCCGGGGTTGAACTCAGCCCTGTTAACTGGGTTGAAATTTTTTGCGATTACATGGACGATTTCTACCCCGGGATTGAAACGTTATACTATACGTTCGCGGCATCGATTCGCGGAAGTAAAAAAAAGCCTTTATTTTGTTTTCTTGTAATAAATAGTCACTACCACGTATGCTTGAATAAGTCATGATAATTTCAGCCCTGGGTTGAAACGATTACATGACAAAATTTTCAACCCAGGGCTGAGTTCAAACCCGGGGTTGAACTCAGCCCTGGGTCGAAAATTTTGTCATGTAATCGCGCGTTTGATT